TTTGTTAAAAATATATAATATGAAATCGTTTGGTTTGGGTGAAATTCTGACTATCGTCTATTTGCAATATGCAAAAAACTATTCTTTTTTCAAGATTCGCTCCACATCTTAGTATTAACTCAAAAGATATAATTTACAACTGTATAATTCAGCCACATTTTGACTTGTGTGCGACATTATTGTATCTTCTGAATCAGAATAAGTTAAGTAAACTATAAAAACTGCAAAACAGGGGTATGCGTGTAATTTTGAGATGTAATCGATTTACCCTTAATCTTCCTCTCGAAGATGATCACTTGGTGNCTACAAAATTGTGTTTGTTTTAATATAGTTGTTTAGTTTAGATTTAAATATATAAATACTTTCGCTTTGTTTTATGTCTCATGGCAGCTTATTAAAATGGTTTAAACCTTTTTATAGCAATATTTTCATTGAGTTGGTTAATCTGCATCTTGGCAAGTGAAAAAAAAAACTTTGTCTTGTCTCGTAGTTGTGACTACTATCACGATAAGTAATGAATTCATCAAAATAAGATGATAACATATTATTAGTAGTCTTAAAAATAAATATCATTGCTGATCTATAGAACCTTTCTTTTATTGATAACCATTGTAATGCGTCAAGCATAAACTCTCACACATGAGAGGTTCACAAAAAAAAACATACAATACAGGAAATAGCAGTCAGTAACGGTTTCTCGAGGGGTATCGTAGATGATATAATAAGAAAGAAAAAGTTTAGGTTAAAAATGAACAAAATCTCGACTTTTGAAAACGACGAAAACCAAGATAATTATTTCTCAGTTCCGTACCACCAATACACGAAGAACTTTAGAAAGATTTTCACGGAACTAGGTATAAAGGTGGTTTTTAAAACAAATCATACATTACAGAGCCTTTTAGGAAACCCAAAAGACAAAGTCAAGAGTTCGGAAAAGTCTGGAATTTACGAAATTGAACGTAAGGACTGCGATGCAAAAGATTATGGAGAGACAAAAAGATCTATTAAAATAAGATATCAGGAACACTTAGCACACTTAAAATATGGAAGACCTGAAAAATCAGCAGTCGCCCATCATATTTTGCAACAAAACCATTCCATAGACTTTAGTTGATTAAGATTAGTTAGACAATTTATCAACGACAGGCATCTAGATCCCTATGAGAGTGTAGAAATAAGTGAATATAATGATATTATGAATAAGGATGGTGAACCAATACCTAACAGTATACTATATAGTTTGTTAAAATAATATTTCAATTATTAGATTCACCTGTCTATTACCTAAGGACACATTGTAAAATTAATTTAAAACTAGTAGACAAGGCAATATTATGACACTTAAGACGCAGGTACCTAGAAGAGGTATCTATGGTATAAATATGGATAATATTGTAAGTATATTTAGTTTGATCTTCCTCTTGAAGATGATTACTTGGTGATCAAAACACGTGTCGAGGTGTTGAAATAACGGTTTGGTGTTGGGAAAAAACTCCAATAATATGAGTAAAAACATCTAAATAGGCATCAATAGACAAAAAAAAAAAAAAAATTAAAATTAACAATTTTAAATGAGCAAAATATATAAAAAATGATAATAAGGAGTATATTTCTAAGTTTTCCAATATTTTTCGTTCACTAAAGTTGGTAGAAAATTTTATTTTACAAGATAAAGTGCCTAAGCTGTGTCAATATAAATATATAGTTCCAGATGAAATGTCGTTAATTTTGGCGAAGGCGAATACTTCAGAATTTGGTGGAAGTACTAGTTACACCTTTGAGACTTGAAATTTTTTGTATAGAGGTAATTAGTGTCCGACCGAAACTAGTTTTCACGACCGAAACCGAATTTCGGCAACGGTCTCAGTTTCGGCCGAAACCGAAACTTCCTTACAAGGATTATGTTTTGGGGGAAAAAATAAAGAAAACGTTATTAGTCAGTCAGTCTTTATTGTTTTATCTTTAAATCACAACGTTAAGGAGTCCTCGACATTATAATCAACATAACAAACCCTTATGTAAGAAAAAATATTAATGGCACCTTAAAAATACTTAAAATAGGTGAGGTGTTTATTTGAGTAGGTGTAGATCCTTCTTTTGAATATTATTGATGGTTTTTCAAAAATATTAAACATAAAATTATACTTATTCAAGTTGTTACCTACTGGCACAATAGGTATTTAATATTTATGTAATAAATAAAATAAATCACAAAGTAATTCACGAGTCATGACATGATTAGACACGTGGACTCGGCAAAATGTCTTCGTCGCTTGTATGAAATTCAACTCACCGAACATGATCGATCACAACGCGGAAACTCCCGAATGCAGTTTCGGTTTTGGTCGTAGTTTCGGCAGGTTTGCCGCCGAAACCGAAACTAAACCGAACCCCTTTTTTTTGCCGAAACTCGACCGAAACCGAACTTTCGGTCGGAGACTAGATGTAATAGTTTCGTTAATAAATTCATTATTAGGGCATATTATCACAATTTTTTAATATTTGACAGTTAATTAAGTAAACTAATATTTGATATTTTTACCACGATAACAACATTCAAACCTTTATATCAATGTGCTTTCGGTGTTTTCAGAGATTTTCGAGGTATTTCGATTGCTGAATAGTGAAGAAAGAATATGGAAAAATCTTACAAGTAATGGTAGTGAAAACTAATTATAGTTTAAAAATATGATAAATTTTCTAATGTGAGTTTTTGAATGTCACAAAATACTGGAACGCCATTTCAATAATACCTCAGTTTGAAAAGTATCGTTTGTGGTATCCTTCTCTTAAAAAATTGCAGATAATTGTCCTGCTGAACTAGTAGAACAACATTTTGTACTTTACTATAGAATTTTTTGCTCTTTATTCAACTATGCGGGATTTTCAAGCCTGAACTCAAATCGGCAAAAATAAAATCGAATTTTCACAGCACGCTACTGGTTAGGTCGAATCTTTTCTGCACTGACGGGTGATAATATCTCGTCACGTGTCAGTAGGTAATCTAATAGAATGATTTCAGCATAGTCCCGCTGCTGGAATGAACGAGAAACATGTACGAGACACAAATGTGAGGTATCTTACATGAATGTCTGTCGTGGTATTAACCGAGAGAGTAGTCGTTTTCCGGCAGGCATTTACCAAAACATACCATGTACCTAGGTATGTTGCGAGACATGAATTTTTCGGGATTTCATTTTGAAATATTTATTTTCACTTTTTGAATTTGATGTAATTTCATGAACTTTTAAAGAGATTCATAAAACTGTTCAATTTGAGTAATTGGGAAAAAGTAGATGTATTCACTGTACATGACATGAATGGCACGTAATATTGACAAGATATGTTGGAAATGTATTATTTGACGAAATAATTTAGTGCAACATTCAATATTGACCTATTCTAATTGAAAAAAAAATAGTCATCGGTTTCACTTACATACGTAAGTTTGTAGTTTTATTTGTTTACTATACTTGGTAAATATTGTGTAAACACTGTATGTAAACAGGCGTTTTTCATGAAACTAAAATAGCAGTGTAAAACCACCAAGTTATTTTTGAGAAAAACATTACAGTGAATGTTGAATAAAAACACGGTTGAAGTAAAATACGTCGCCACGTCCGTTTGCTTGGTTTTACACCCCAAGGGTATGAACATCCCCAAAGGGATAGCATTGGCTATCTTTCACAGTAACCAGTTCAATTAACAGATGTATTTATAAAATATTTTATGTATACGTAGTATCGTATGGATAAAAACATAAATCTGTTCAGGAACCTTCACTAATCAACTGTGATTTTGATTAAATTTGGAAAAGATGAAACTTGTAACTTGAATCATCTAAAGGAACAGTTCGTTCAGGACAGTCTCAACACCCACACTCTAGGTTAATGGACTGACACCTATTAGAAAACAACTACTCCCCTGGCTAATACCACGAAGGGCGTTGGATGATATCCGACAGGTGTCAGTGCCAGGATTCCTCACTGAAGTTCTTCCTGCATATGCTGTTGGCGATACAACTGCCGCAATAGATTTTCAATTATTGAAACATACTTGCAGGCCACTTTCGGGTTTTTTGACCACTTGTCAGTGCAAGGTCAACAGAAGTCGATGATTTCCATAATTGAAAATCGAATTCCTTTCAGAGCATAATTTCCCAAACTACGCAGAAGCCAACGACAAACAACATGTTTGTCATCGCTCCATTTGCCTTTGAACGAGGTATCCAACCGCATATCCGAATTTGCCTGATTCCCCGTATAAGGAAGAAAACTTCACAAATTGGGTGGGCATACTTCGAGACATATGCAGGAATAACTTCAGTAAAGAATCCTGCACTGACACCTGTCGGGGATATAATCCTACGTTCTTCGTGGTATCAGTTCATTAACCTATAGTGTAGGGAGTTTAGACTTTAGATGAAATTTTGTTTAAATAATGTAGGGCACAAAAAATGAAATACACCCTTCAAATTTAGGGGTGAGGTATACAAAAGTCATCTTTTTGGTGGCTTTTTTTGGTATTGAACCTTTTACAATCTGAAAAATGAACAAAGAGAATCAGCTAAAGTGTAATAAAGGGAAAACTAAAAGCCCGAAAAGTTGCTACGTAATATAAACCACTAGAAAGTCGTCCTAACGGTCAGTAATTTGTCGTATTCACAAATTTTACCTATCAATAAAATGAATGATGAAAAAGAAAAAAAATTCAGTACTTAGCTTTTTCATAACGGCTACATTTTTGGAAAGTAATTCCTTTCCGTGTTTTCTGGAGGTTTTTAGAACAGAAAGGGCAAAATTTGTCAATTCTACAAGTTATTGACTAATTGGACGTTTCAATGACTCTTTATTGAGTCAGCTTTATTCATTTTTTATTACACGCTTTATATTAGCTTTATCTATATGTATGTNCATCTTCAGATTAATCAGAAGTGTTAATAATAAAAAGACACAATCGAAGTGGTTTCATTCGAATAATGTTATACTCTTTCTTTACAGACACCCAAGCCGTACCATCTCTAACCGAACTAGCAGCGAAATGCGTAGCTTCTCATATACCCTTCGAACTGGTGGAGCACGTTTATCCGCCAGTGCCGGAACAGCTCCAGCTCAGGATAGCCTTCTGGAGTTTCCCGGACAACGAGGAGGACATCAGGTTGTACTCTTGTCTGGCGAACGGTTCGGCAGACGAGTTCTCGCGTGGGGACGGCTTGCACAGGAATCATATGGTGAAGGATCCGTTGCAAATCGGTGAGTAATTTATGACGATTGACTGTAGCTACTTATTATTATTATATCATCGTTTTTTTTCCTCGTTTGAAAGACCTATTGATGCCATTTTGTGTGGAATATAACAACATTCAAATGCACGCCACGGCTTCTCTGGGTGGAGCGCATCCGAAAAATCTAATTTTCCATGACTCTGGCGCATAAATCGAGCTGAAATTGATCGAAGGCATATGTTACGTTGGCTTTGAGGACCGCTGTGGTTTGTGCCTTATTCGCAAACACCTGTAACTCAAAAAAATCTCACAAGAAAAAGTCTAACGGGGTCAAATCACACGATATCGGTGGCCAGTTCACATCACCTCCACGTGCAGAATATCCAATGTGACGTCCTGTTGAAACCACATGTCGTTGGTGTCCAGATCATCCAATTCATTCCTTAGTGCTCGCTATTGACAGTGATGGCCAACGTCGTTCTTGAAGAAATATGGACCCATGACGCCGCCAGCCCAAAATCCACATCAAACAGTTACTTTTTTGGGATGCAATGAACGCTCTTGGATCTCGTGTGGATTAATATCGTCCTGAATTCGACAATTTTGTTTGTTTACGTATCCAGAAATGGGTTTCGTCGTTGTCTATGGTCGTTTACGTTCAATTCCTGGATCAGTTGAATTTTGTACGGGTGCAGGCTCAAGTCATGACACAAAATTCGCCAAGTTGTGGTCTGCAAAAGGCCACAACTTGGCGACGCGAAATCGACTGCTTCGGATTCTCCTGCATACTCTCACAGACAACGGCCATGTTTTCGGCGGATCTTGCGTTTCGTTGACGTACGAGTGTTGGTCGATCCTTCACTGAACCAGTGGACTCAAATTCATCCACCACATTGCGAATAGTTCTCTCAGTAGGATGATTATGGCGACCGTAGTTTCATCCTTTGTGTTACAAATTATACTTGTTTGTCCCATATCATATGTTTGTCAATAACTGTGAATGAAACGAATGCTCTGCAAATACTGATTTATTTTACTTCCTCTAGAACATTTAAAGTACATTCATTTCAAATAAATATACCGGGTGATCCTCTACATCTTCCCCTTTTTCAAAATTATACACCAATAATAATTTACAACAAATTAACATATACTATTGTGAAACTAAAACTAAACCAAATGATTTTACTTTTGCCTAACACAAAATACTAAAACACCTTCCTTTATTTACATTTTTGAATACATCATGGGGTTATATCTATGAACTGGTTTTATT